ATACAGGTACATTTGGCGCCCACCGTGGGGCCGAACGAAGTTGGTTGGAAGTTTGTTGAGAAGAACGATGCCGATAACTAGGAGAACAAACACGCAAGATCGTCCCATTGAGGAGCATGTGGAAGTGGTGGATGAAACCGATCTCTCTGAAACAGTGCGTTTGCTGAAACAAGAAATGGAATTAATGAAACAACAAAGAGAGAAGGATGCAAGAGAGCTTTCGGCCTTGAGGGCTGAGAATGAAGCATTGAAAAGTCAGGATACAACATGGAAGCCTACTCATATCACCAACACACAAACTCAAGGGTCGTATCAATCTCACGCGGTCCATACATCGGTTCCTCATGCTTCAGCAGTAGCCCCTGAGAGGTTCCCTTCGGCCTTACCTACTGTGGGTCGTCCTGCAGATATAACCACTGTCGGATCACACCGACATCCGTTTACTCCCTCCATTATGCAACTCCCTTTAATGGATAATTGGAAGGCTTTACCTATTGACAAATATGATGGTACCACTGATCCTGATGAACATTTAGATGTTTTTCTGACACAGGTAACTCTGAGTACGACCGATGACGCTGCGTTGTGTCGGATCTTTCCTACGTCCCTCAAAGGCAGAGCTCTCAGCTGGTTCACTCGTCTCCCACCCAATTCAATAGATTCCTTCAACACATTGTCATCACAGTTCACTATCCAATTTGCGACGAGTCGCCCTCATAGTCTAACGTCTTTATCTCTGGTTAGTCTTAGACAGGACAAAAAGGAGTCTCTTCGGGCGTTTATGGATCGGTTCAACAAGGCTACTTTGGAAATCAGAGATCTCAACCCAGCTGTGGCGCTACATCATCTTACAACAGCGTTGAAACCAGGCCCATTCGTCAATAGCATCTGTAAAAAGCCTCCTTCGGACATGAACGACTTACGTAGGAGGGCTGATAAGTACATGCAGATGGAGGAGTTGGCAGAATTCAGAAATCAAGCCCGAGCCGAGCAGTCCACTAAATCCGAAAAACCGGTAGAACAATCATACAGGGGGCGAGGTAAAGAAATATCCCTTCGTGAGCGGCCTATCCGGGGTCCGAAGTATACTCAGTACACCCCGCTTAATGCCAACCGCGCGGCGGTCCTCGAACAGGCTTTGAGCCGATCAGTTAGCTCGGCTCGCTAGCACTAGAAAACCGGGACAGCTAAGAACAACAATTCACCTCGAAGTCCATTCTCCAAGTGTGGCCGTAGAGTGCATGGCTACCGATGTCGAAGTTCCAAGCTGGATGACTCCCATTCGGAACTTCATCCTCCAAGGGGAATTGCCCACCGATCCGATGGAAGCGAGAAAGTTGCGTATCCAAGCAGCTTGGTATTCCATAGTAGCTAGCGAGCTCTACAGGCGAGGATTCTCCACCCCGTTGCTTAAATGCATTGACAATCTGCAGGCTGAATATGTAATGCGGGAAGTCCACGAAGGTATCTGCGGATTCCACTCCGGAGGCCGGACCCTAGCAGCAAAGGTGTTACGAGCCGGCTATTATTGGCCGACCCTGAAAGGAGATTGTGCAGAGTTTGTCAAGAGGTGCATACCGTGTCAACGGCACGGAAATGTCATTCACGCATCGGCCACCGAGTTACACAGCATCAACTCCCCATGGCCGTTTGCGTTGTGGGGTATCGACGTGCTCGGACCGTTCCCCGTCGCAAAAGGACAGGTAAAATTTCTTTTGGTCGCGGTCGACTACTTTACCAAGTGGATAGAAGCCGAACCGCTCGCCTGCATCTCGTCAACTAACGTTCAGAAATTTGTATGGAGGAATTTGGTTACCCGCTTCAGCATTCCATACGCCATCGTTTCGGACAATGGCCTCCAGTTTACAGACAAGAAGTTCAACGCTTTCCTTGAAAACCTTGGAATTCGGCACCGGTTCACGTCAGTGGAACATCCTCAGTCGAACGGCCAGGCCGAAGCTGCAAACAAGGTTATTCTCACCCAGCTCAGAAAGCGTCTCGGTACGGCTAAAGGAGCATGGGCCGAAGAGTTACCGGAAGTCCTCTGGGCTTACCGATGTACGCCGCAATCAACTACCAGGGAAACACCCTTCCGCCTGACGTACGGCGTAGATGCAATGATTCCGGTGGAGATAGGCGAACCCTCGTTCAGGAGACAGCATTTTCATGAGGAATCTAATGATGACTCATGCCGAGCCGAACTGGATGTCCTCGATGAAAGGCGAGAAAAGGCACAAGTGGTGGCAGAAGCATGCAAACAACGAATGAGCCGACGCTTTAACTCTAACTTAAGGCCGAGGACGTTTCAGGAGGGTGACCTAGTCTGGAGAGCAATTGGTCTGGCCAGGCGGAACGCTTCCGAGGGCAAGCTCTCAGCTAATTGGGACGGACCATTTCGCATACGGCATGCGCTTAACAATGGGGCATACAAGTTGGAGGAGCTGTCCGGCAAAGTCATTCCGAGGACCTGGAATTCAACACATCTGAAGACGTATTATAGTTGAACCCAACTTGTATTTACCTTACAATTGTGTGTAAAATGGTGCACTCTTTTCCTTGAACCGATCTTTTTTCCCCTTATAAAATTGTGAAAAGGGGTTTTTGATTGGCAAGGTTTTTAACGAGGCATCAAGTCAATAAGAATACACTTCAAAATCTCAGACATCGGATGTTGGCTTATAGTTAAAATTTTAAAGACTTAAAATTTTTAACAAGTCTTCCCTCCCGAGATGTCTCTCGGCTAAGGACGCGGCTTAAAATTTTTACGAGTCTTCCCTCCCGAGACGTCTCTCGGCTAAGGACGCGGCTTAAAATTTTTTACAGGTCTTCCCTCCCGAGCTGTCTCTCGGCCAAGGCGGCGTCGGAAAACCGGAGAGGAGAAGAAGGCGGCAATCGAGGCCGAGGTAGCCCGATTGCTGGAAGCGCAGTTTATACGGGAAGTGCACTACACAACGTGGCTGGCCAATGTGGTCATGGTCCGAAAGCCGAATGGGAAATGGCGTATGTGTACTGATTACACCAACTTGAACAAGGCCTGCCCGAAAGACGCCTACCCGTTGCCCAATATCGATCGGCTCGTCGATGGGGCGTCCGGCCACCGATTCCTATCCTTCCTAGACGCCTATTCGGGGTATAACCAAATTCGCATGCATCCTCAAGATGAAGAAAAAATGGCGTTCATCACCGAGACGGCCAACTACTGCTACCGGGTGATGCCGTTCGGTCTGAAGAACGCCGGGGCCACATACCAGCGTTTGATGAATAAAATTTTCCATGATCAGATCGGTCGGTGCCTGGAGGTTTACGTTGATGACATGGTCGTAAAGTCTGGCGAAGTTTCGGCCCACGTGCACCACCTCGCTGAAGTTGGTTAAAGATGCAAACTTGTTGAAATACTACCATTTGTTTCAAAAAATGCGCGATACGTTTGAAAACGTTTACGTAAAGCACACACCAAGAGAACACAATGCGAGGGCCCGATTGCGGATCAGCGACCGAATGTCCAAATCATCGTCCACACGGCTCGCCATTATACCTGCACATCATTAAGTCAAAATCAATGATAACGTAAGAACCTACACAACTAGGAAAGTTACTTTACCGATTAGTTCTTCGATCGGGTCGGCCGATTCAAGTAACCGAACAAGAGGTCGACACGGTAGCGGCCGAGGCAATTTCAGCAAAAATTTTAAACTAGTGCGCTCTTCAGGGGACAGCCGGGACTTGGACACTGTGTTGTACTTGCGCGGCTTCCGAGTCCAGTACAACGGGAATAGAGGCTGTCCGTCGTCATCAAAAAAGTACTTATTCCCCGTCGACGGCCTAATCATCACTTTGAGAAATCCTCTCTTAAAGTTTTTATAAGAGGTAGTAAACGGCTGCAACAAA